TTTATTCTTTTATATAAAGAAAGAGAAGCAAAAATTAGGTCTTACAAGTTACATTGATTGAAATATGAGATAGATAGAACCCTTGAGAAGGACAGACTGAGAGCCTCCTTATCCTTGTGTGTGCTGAATTAAACCACTGCTCTACAAGCTGGCAGCCTTCTTTGCCTTGTCTCTTGTGTCTTTGATTTTTTCTCTACTTGTTGTTTTGTCTGTCTTCCTTTTCAGTTATACTTCAAGCGTGTGCAGTTTCTCCTCTGTGTGTAGGTGTGTTACACTGCGTAAATGAAAACATCGCATACGGTTTTTCCCGTTTAGTCCTTGGAAAAATAAACACAGTCAGAGGCGTGAGTGTTTAACTGTGCGTGGAAATACGTAGGTTTTATGTGTCCTGCAAACTGAACAGATACTGCGTGTCTCTGAACAGGCCTTGCAAAATATTTGATTAAAAATCTGCAAAGGGAGGAGGTCGGGGTGGATGGATGGTTCATTTAAACAAAGGAGTTTGACAGGAGAGGCAGCTTTTCCAACTTGCAAAGTTTCTTTTAACGGGTTCATAGCGTGACTGCTTCTTTCCCTACGCCTAATCAAGTTGTTTGTGCTTTAACAAAACAGATATGAAAAACATATATATGTACTATATTACACTCCAGTGAGTCATATTCAGTATGGTAGGGACTGTATTGTTGTTGGAGGACTTGTCATTACACAGAGGTTGCATGTCAGGATGAGTCACAAAAGCTATGTTCCTATACAACTCGACTGCATTCTCAGTTATGTTGTGGCAAAATGGATTTTCTCCTGAATTACATTTGTTTGTGACATATCACAAATAGGTTTCTGGTCTACATAGCTTTGCCATTTATTGCATTACTTTCTTACTGTGACACTTTTTCAGCCAACAAATTGTATATTGGATGGAGCAGGACTGGTAAATGTGATGGGTTCCTATTTCGGTGCCTCGATTTGACCAAACAGCGAGTGAAAATGAAATGTTCACTCCTGAGAAAATCTCATATTTCCACATCAAAACTGCAGTGTATTTGTGGTATCTTGATGTTCCACCTCATGGGAATGTTTAGTTAGGAGCCCCTAGGTCAAAGGTTTGGGTCAAAGGTGCTGCAGGAAAGGTGCCTCTTTGTTCAGAAGAATGGGCTCCCTTCAGGATATGAACCATATATTTTGTCTTTTTTTGACAACCCCCCAAAAAGCCAGTAGTTAAGGTTATTCTGGAGGGTGATTGTCTTTGGCTTCGAATCCTCTCACAGGCAAACCATGGTGTCTGAGATACAGTATTTGTTGCAATAAACCGTCTTATATACCAACAAGATCAAAATCAAATCAAGTTTATTGTCATTTTGCTGTATATACACAGTAGTACAGGCAAGATGAGAGACCGTTTCTTCAGGATCATTTAATTAGTAAGTTGGGGACAGTAAGTGGGACAGGCAAGACTCTAAATGTTCACTGTCGCTGTCTCCTGAAGGGGCCACTGTGTGCCATCATGTTGAACATGGTGAACCTCTTCAGGTCCTGGTAGGTCTTCAGGGACACAAAGACACACATGATGGTGTAACGATGGTGAAGCTGCAGATGCTGCCCAGAGCTAGCTGTCTGTCTGTCCACCTGGAATAATGTTGTCCTCTCCAGATGTATGTCTGTCTGGGATGTTGTCATGGAGCCATGTTTCTGTTAAAGTAAACACACAGCAGTCTTTACACTCTCTGTGGGTTCTGAGCTCTCAGCAAACGTAGCTCGTTGAGCTTGTTGTGGAGGAAGCAGACATTGGAGCGTAGGAGGACGGTCCTGCTGGTCTGGAGGGGTTTGCCTTTAGCCTAGCATTGGTCCCGGCTCTTTTCATTCTCTTTTGTTTACGTTCGTACCATTTGCGCTTCCCTCTCTCTCGGGCAACTGCCGGCGTAGTCTCCAATCGGATTCCATGTTGGTGTAGTATGTCACAACCTACCGCCGCAATTCCAGCACCGTTCACTGTCCTGATGTTCAGCAAAGTCTCTCGGCCGCAAGTTTTGCGGAATGAACGTCTGGTATAGACAAGACACTCAAAATGTTCGTTGTTTCCTGAAGGGGCTGCTGCGTCTATGCGCGGCGCCATCACCATGGCGAGATGGTATCAGTGGAGAATTTCTACATCACCTTCACATCATTGCTACTCAATAAACAACATATTGATAACATTCTCAAAAGCAACTCAAGGAACCAATCCTGTCAGCTTGCAGGATGGTACTTTTTGTATCTTTCTTAGAATTTGGTTTCCGGGGTATTCACAAATCTTCACTTTGGTTGGAGGTTTTTGAAAGAATCATTTTTAATGCCATAAAGCTGCACCTTCGTGTGGATGACAGGCCAAATCATAGAGAAATATCTTTGTTTTGTGAGATACCCTGCTACATGTGGACAAGGCCCCAATCTTCCAACTTGCCATTGTGTAGCGTAGCATAGCTTTTCAGTGTTTGAGCAAAGTTGTAGGTGAGCTGGTGTGCTCGAGCAGCAGTGAGTGGGGAGGTGTAGGTGGAGAGAGAGGCAGGACTTTACAGTTCGACACATTCTGGCAACAGCCACTGCACAGAGTTACATCAGAGCCATTTTAAGGCAGAAAAATATATAATTTCCTGCAAATAAGCTCATTATGTGACTTTAGGGGGTTAAATCAATGACAGAAGAGAGATTTAGTTAAAATATTGGTCCAACACAGGACACATCTTAGAGTCTCCTTATGCAGACTTTGTGGCTTTTAGAAGGTGCAAAGTAATATCACACTGTTGCCTTACCAGAAGGATAAAATTCTCCTCTTTCAAAAAGTAATTGAGCAACAGTTTAGCTCAATAGGAGCATGATTTGTTGTGATGCAGAGCGAGCAACTACAGAGCAGCAAGAGGCCTTTGCTTAGTGTTGAAGCACAGACTGAAACTATCTGGTATGCACCGAAAGGAACTAAGCTAAAACATACATCTTGCCGGAGAGCGTGAGAGAAGAACGGACACATTGTGCTCGTTTTTTTTTCCCATAATCCTGATTATAAACAGCATGGAAGGATGAAACTCAGGATGAACCCGGCTGATCTGTAAATCATCTTCTTTGAGTGGAACACAATTTCTGATGCATTTCTTTTTCCCCCAGTCATTTTATGGAGTCATAGTGATACCAGCGACTACTGCAGCTTCATCGACAGTAACATCCTTTTGTGTGCGTTACATCACATACATCCCGACACTGATCTGTCTGTTGTTTTTCTGCAGCTTGTCCTACATGTTCCATTCATTCCATCTACATTTAAAACAGCACTGATTTTCTCTAATGGGCTGAGGGGAGACATGGCATTACTAACCTCAGACAGATGCTTCAGTGAATTCATACACTTTGAATGCAGCTTTGTTCCCATGCTCCCTTGTTTGACTCTGTTTTATGTAACCGTTGCTTCCTATTTTTACCCCAATTATTATGTAATCTTCATGTCTGATGTTATTCCTTTTGCAATCGTATAGACTAATGTTCTGTCAACAAAACACTGTATATGTGAGTGTCCTTAGAGCCTTAGAGAACAACCAAGGTCAAAAAGTTTGAACAGGATAGCAGCCCATTTCCTGTCTGCAGCATAAAAATAATGACATTAAATGCAGCTTTTGTTGTTCTGCATTAAATGCTTTTTTTTTTTTGCCTGAATGTTTTCCATGTAGCTTGCATAGCAGGGCAAAGTGAGGACGATGAAGAAGTGGAGCTGAAGGTGGAAAAAGGAGGAGAGTGTCTCAATTAAAGCCATAATCTTCACCTGCTGGCTGCATGTCATGCTCCTTTTTATCTTACATGACAAAGTCCTCGGCTCAGACGGCCTGATGAACGGACCGTATGCTCGGTCAGGGAGCTGCGAGGCTTTTACTCGCTCCCGCTCGTTCTCCCTCCACATGTGGTGTCTTCTACCTAACTGGCTGACTCCAAACAAACAGCAGGGGGTTGGAGGAGGAGGAGGAGAGTGAAAGGAAAGAAAGGAAAGAAGAGGAGGAAAATGGCATACATGAGAGAAAGATTAAGAGGACAGAGGATGATGACATGCAAAGAAAATAGAAAAACAAGACAAGAAAAAAAAAAGACATTAAATAGGGTCTTAGATGAAAGGAAATTAAGTATAAACAGGTGAAATAATTACAAGTGAGGCAATGAAAGAGAGACAAAAAGGAGGGAGATGAGAGGAACAAACGAGAAAAGAAAAATGGAGGGAAAGGAGGAGGAACAAAACAGAAGAAATGGTGTAGAAGGAGATGTGAAACAAAAAAGACAAGAAAAGGGAGGAAAGCAGAGAAAAAGAAGGGAAGAGAAGAAAAGAAAAGAATTAGAACAAACAATAGTGAAGAATGAAGAAGAAATAAAGAAAAAACAAGCGAAAGAGAATAAAAAAGAAAGAGCAGAAAATGAGTACTAAAAGATCTGGTTTAATATTCATCTTGAAGTCGCACTTTTTATTTTTAGAGTCTATGCTAATGTGATGAGTGTCAAGCTGCACAAATATATATGTATAAAAAAAACAACAAAGAAAAACCAAAACAAAAAACCTGTAAAGTTGTACATACGTCTTTGTATTTTTTTTCTCCTTGATTTTTTCCCCTTCTTATTTATATTTTTATTTCATTTTTTCCATATTCTTTTATTTTGTGCTACTCTGATAAAACAGTTTCCCTCGTGGATCAATAGTCTAAGATGAAGAGTTGTGTACCCCACACAACCTGCAGCCAGCAGAGGCCACTGCAGAGCAAACGACATTTTATTTACTGCAAAGGAAGAAAACTTCAGGAAGAAATAAATCCCAGAGGTCATCCTGTGTAGCAGCAAGTCTGAGATAAACAAAAAACTAAAAAAAACACTGTATTTTTTAATATCTGAGAGCAACAAAAAACATGAAAATATACATTAAAATGGTTCTATAAACATTCTTTACATATGTTTGTATATAAATTATTTTTGAACCGCATTTCCCAGAATGCACCGAGCGGAGGTTAGAGGTTATCTGGACATGTGTAGTTATCCACAACAACCGCAGCCTCCTTTAAGTGGAAACCTTGCCCTCTGTCCTGTGCAACCTTTGATATCTTCCCCTTTCAGATATCTGGAGGTCCGAGCGGTCACTGTCCGTGAATGAGCGCCGCTGAGCGGAACCATAATCCCGCTGGAAACAACCGCCCGGAGCCGCTGGACTGCTGCGGAGGACTAAACAACGTCGACTACTCTAAGGTAAACTGTTGTGTCTTGCTAAGTCTTCCTGTGTTTCTGGCTCACATTTAACCCGGTTCAGCTACGTTAGCTTCGGTTCGACCGACTGAATTGATATGTGGAGCTCCGACCACCGGTAAACACACAGTACCATGGGGGTTTTCAAAATAAAAGCAGGATTTCCTACAAATTCATAGCACACGGCTTTCAAACAAAGTAAATATTTTTTTAATAACATGTATTTTACTTTTTATTAATCTAATGACTGTTTTATCGATTAATTTATGAATTCAATGATTGTTTTTTTCTTTAACAAAAAATAATTGACCATTTAATTTGAGTGCATTTTATTTTGGCAAACTGTATGCCATAATGGAATAGAATAAATGTTATTGATCCTCCAGTACGGGAAATTTACATGCCACAGCAGCATCCCAAAAATCTAAAAAAGAAAGTACAGAGAAATAAAAATAATTACGTAGTAAAATAAGTATATACACAAAATGAGAAAAAATATACTAAAAAAATACAAGATTTACACTTAAAAAGAAAAAGACAGTGCAAATTTGCTGTGCAAAAATGAGTTGTAACCTGGTGTTAATTTTGTCCGTTTGATTCACTTCAGTCAGTGATGCTGACGTTGTACAGTCTTATTGCAGTTGGGAGGAATGACCTGCGGCAGTGCTCCTAAAAAAAATAAATATTCCTATTACCTTCCACACGGCCTGCGATGAGCATCAACACCCTATCACACTTGAACTTGTTCTATGGCACCTGTCTAGATTGTTGTCTCCTGACTATAATCCTTGCTTGTGTTGTATCCGCTCTCAGATGTACGTCGCTTTGGATAAAAGCATCTGCCTAATGAAATTGTAGAACTGTAGAATTCTTGCAAGGTGAATGTCTCACTCTGCTGCTGAAGGAGCTACTTAAAACCCCCACAGTCTCGTGCAGCGGGTGAGACGGGTTGTCCATGATGGATGTGAGCTTTGGCAACATCCTCTTCTCATCCACCTCCTCTATGAGCAGTCCAGGACAGAACCGGCCCTCCTGACCAATCTATTCAGTCTCTTTCTGCTCCGTATTTCAGTCAAAGGTGCGGCTCCATAGAAGTTCCAGTTACTGTTAAACCCTTTAAAGCAGTAAAGCAGTTACATCTGCTCTGTGTTTTTAACAAACATGTTTAGAATGTAAGAGACAGTGGTTAAGAAATTGTCATATACTGGAATCAAACGTCTGTTGGATGTGGGTTGTACACAAAGAAAGTAGTTGTGCTTACAATTATGACAGGATGAAAATAATTTTTAGACTGGAGGGCCCTGATTGCACTGAGCCCCAGTAAACCATTATTATGTCCAACTTACCACAAAAATAGATGTTTTCTTTCACCCATGATAGTTGGCTGGTTGTCCAAGGTGAAATGGGTACTATCCATGTTTGCATTACATCCATCCATTATCTATACACCGCTTAGTCTTTACAAGGGTTGCGACGGGGCTGGAGTCCACCCTAGCCGACTCAGGGTGAAGGCAGGCGACACCCTGGACAAGTCGCCAATCCCCCCCTCTCCAGTGGGAAGCCTATATATAGTTTCCGATACAAATAATGTGTCTATCCGGCACAGTTTTCAAGCTACAGTGCAGTCAAAATTTATGACCATGTGTTTGACCTTTAAAAAATCATCCACGGATAATTGTAACATTATCAAACCCAAAACTCAACAGCCCCAACATGATTACTTATCTGCACCAAACACCATAAATCTACCGTCAACCCATTTGAAGGTATAAGGTATTTTGGAAAAAAAAGACCTTTGACCTCTAGAAGAGTTATTTTTGTGCTGATTGACCCCACAATCTAATCATTCTGAGGAGAGGCCATTCCTAGCTCACCTGTAAAATATCAACTTGTTAGACCGTAGCACTCGAGCCAGAGACTGTTCACGGACACACATAGATGGTCCGTTTGCCCCCGACCAAGGGCAACCACAGTAAGTAACAGTATAAGATAAATGGTCACCAACACTCACTAGTACTATCAAAGTAGAATAAACTCTGATTGTAACGCAAACATATTCTCAAATACTTATTTAATAGGAATTCTCAGGTAGCAGGCAGTCAACTTTAGGGCTTTGTAGGTGTATTCAGCAGCTACAAGGACAACAGGTATTCAACAGTCGTCTCTTCCAATGAGCAGAAACACTTGGTGGAGCGTCTTCTATAGAGGAGCTCCTGTGTGTTTTCCCTTCAGCTGTGAGTCTGTTGTGATTTGCAGCTGTGGTTGCTCTGCACAGTGTACACACCACCGTTTGTTTTTTTTTTTTGTAATTGCGTGAAGTACTCCCAACTTTCGAGGCCTCAGGTCTTTAAGAACTTCTACCCTGAATGGAATCAGATGCTGCGGCAGCCATTTCCTAAACTGTAACATTGACTGCACTGGAACGATAACTGGAGACCAAAATGAATGATGACATTTTGCAATAATTATGTTGCGATATGGAAGAAAAATATTTATTAGAATTAGCAGAATCAGTTTAGAGCTGCAAGGTGGTGTAGTTGGTTAGCATTGTTGCCTCGCAGCAAGAATGTCGCTGGTTCGTGTCCCGATGAGGACACCAGGATCTTTCTGCGTGTAGTTTGCATGTTCTCCCCGTGCAGTGTGGGTTCTCTCCGGGTTCTCTGGCTTCCTCCCACACAGTCCAAAAACATGTTGAGGTTAATTGGTGATTCTAGATTGTCTGTAGGTGTGAATGTAAGTGTACTTGGTTGTCTGTCTCTAAGTGTGGCCCTGTGATAGACTGGTGACCTGTCCAGGGTGTCCCCTGCCTTCACCCTAAGTCAGCTGGAATAGACTCCAGCCCCCCATGACCCCAGTGAGGATTAAGCGGTGTGTAGATAATGGATGGAGGGAGAATCAGCTGAAACATTTTAGGAAAAAAAAGTAAAAATGATGCGTTGTTTACATCGATTATGTCCAGTAAATGCAGCAGCCCTACACTATAACAACAACATTTTCTATTTTAATAAGCAACTGGGTAATAACATCAATTGCTGCAACACAAATAATATAGTTTTGTGTTTTTTGATTTAAGAACAACTGGTTACATCAGTTTTACAATATTTTAATATATGTTCGATAGATTTTCACTTATGTAAAGGATAGTGGCATTTCTTGACAATAACAAACCAAAAAAAAAAAAAAAACCCCACAAAAAACCATCTTTATCCCGCCATATATTTCATGCTAAGAATATGTTTTATGCATTAACCGAACTTTTCAAAGTTTGGTTGTGACTTTTTTTTTCATGTTTCTCAGTATATCCCAACCTTCCCCCACTCTTCTTTTGACCTTTCCCGTTTCCCTTCAGCTGACCTCTGCAATAAAGGCCAAAAGCTGATCTTTAACAAATACCATAGTAAGGTGTTGGGCCACCAGGACAGCTTCAAAGCATCGATTGTCCCATATTCATGCTGGTACCTGCATTTAACGTCCAGCGCTGGAAGTTGCAGACCTTATCCATGTTTTTCTGTCATCAAACTGCATGATGTGCAAAACTTTTGGCTGTTTTGCCGTTTTAGCCTCAATACTGTGACGTATAATGAATTAAACACCCATAACAAGCCGAGGACTTTGACTAAAAGGGATGCTGTGTTCCTCCTCATCGCTGTCGTCAGTCTGCTTAAAGTGGAAAACCTCACAGAGAGCTCTCGTCTGTGATACCAGAGAAAACACGTCGCCGTTGCTCAGCCTCATTTCAGTTGTGAGAATTAATTGTTGTGCTCTTCGTCATGCTTCACTTTTGAAAGAGACCTGTCTGATATGCAATTTCTTTGCTCCTCTTTGTTCACAAAGGAAGTCTTGTTTGTTTCACACTGTGATGTGATATACTGCGGCACTGATCCGTGCAGACAAACACGTAGGTCAGACTGGAGCAAATGCTACATGAGAGAAAACTAACAGACAGCAGTTTTGTCTTTTAGAGTTGAATAATACTAATTATTAATAATTGAAAAAGCCTCTTATGATTTAAGAACAGGGCAAAATTAATCTGCAACTCCTTCGCCACCAGTTCAACTCACACTATAAATATAGGAATTGCATTCACGTTGCATGACAACAAGACAGCGGCTATGTCTGAAATCATCCACTCACTCCCTATTCACCTTCTAGGAACCACTATAACTTTGTAGGGAGCATTACTCAAGCTATGAATTACGTCGCTCGCTAGCCGCGATTTGTGCCGTAGCAGCATAATGCAAACACATCAAATTCACAGTTTATTGCGTAGCTAAGAAACGGGTAAAATAAAATTTAACAAAACATAAACTGGAAATTACTAGGGCTTGACCCAAACATCCGATTATTCGGTCGTTGTTGTGGTATCCGCATATCAATTTTGAGATCTAAATATTCGCCTTCCCCGTCCCGTCGTTGTGGTGGTATCCGGATTTGCCCGCAACTCACCAGCCCCCCTGACTGTGCCAAATATTCGGATATTCATCATTGATTGGACCCGAATATCCGGAGCCCAGAAATTGCTATTCGGACAAAACCTAGAAATTACTCACAAGTTTCTGTGCTCTTGTTTGTCTAGTTTGCATTTCCTTTCGCGCAATGCATGATGGTCCATGTTGCTTGATTATTGACCATTGGCTGTACGTGGCTTTTCACGGTGCATTGTGGGATAGCTTGAGTGCACTTTTTGGGTGTAACATTTGTAACTTAACATTCGGACAGCCCTACAAAATGGCAAACACCTGATATAGTGCACTATGTAGGGGGCAGGGGGTGATTTCAGACACAGCCTATGAAAGATGCATCTAAAAAATGTGGTGCAATGGATGGCCTTCAAATTGCAAAACCTTTTTTTTTTGGCCCACTTCTCTTTTCACACTGACCTCAAGTGAGTCTGAGGTAAGACCACTCACCGAGCCAACCTCCTGAATCAGAGCACGGCACAGAAGTGGGCACTTTCTGAGACTCTCCAATAAAAATAAAACACACACACACACAAAGATGCTTTTTGCGAATATCAAAACATCAAAGCCTTATTGAGCCTTCTCGAATGAAACCTCGCTGTTCTTTTTTTTCCCTCCCAGTTCAATTTTCTGTCCAGGTGGACGCTAATATATTTGGAAGACTGGATGGTATCTCTCCTTAAACCTGGGGTAGGTGGGATTTGTTTGGCATCACTGGGGCAAAAATTCTACACTAACCAGCTTCAGATGAGATAATATTAACATCAACAAAGTCCATTGTTGAAATAGGATGTGATGGTGCAATGCGTTAGATAGAGCAGGTTTACTTTCCCATTATTCGTTTATTTAAAAATTGCATCACACCAGGCGACAAACTCTTTCTAGTAGGCCAGGTCATTGCCCAGTCTTTTACCTTGACATTACACCTGACTATAAAGGGGTTGCCCTGTGGCCTGTGTAGCTCTTGTTTAGTGAAATACTGTCAGACAGTTTGGTATCGAGCTTGATAAGCAGGTCGAGATAAGAGATGATGTAATAGTTGTGTAGTACGAAGTACTTCAACAAGAAATCAGCTAAAAGGAGTGACTGAATCGGACAGCTTGTATCTGGGGCTGCTATGATAAGTCAGTGTAATCGATGACATTGACACTGAAAATGAATCAATATCAATGTTGTTTTTTCTTTTACTGGCACCAATCTTTTCTTTTTAATGACAATCTTTATAACAAATGTTTATCACTTCTTTTGTCATGATGCCATGTACTCGTTTTTGGCTCCAGTCATGGCTGCAGTCAGCAGTCCAACTTTAAAAAATGTGAAAGCTTTCAATTACTATATATTACTTAAAGTTTGAAGCAACCAAAGTCAGAAAACAAATACCCCAAAAAAGGGTAAGATGAGCTGCTTTAACTGCTCTGTGCTTGTAAAATACCCACTGTGGTTATGTGGCACTTGGTCGAACACACAGAAAAAACTTATTTAGTACTTTGTCAACTTAGATTTCTTTAGAAGCTGCACGACACTTTGACACAATAAGGCTTCATTTTATTGTGTTAGAATTTCCAGTTTAATTCGACAGTTTTGTAATTTATTATGGTAACTTTTGCTATCATTTCGTACTCACGACATACAGTTTGTAAATGTAAACTGAACTAAAATGGTCATTTTACTTTTTTCGAGGAAAATTAATCATTCAGATTAATTGACTGATCAGTAAAATAGTTGATAGATTAATAATAAAAAAAATTATGAAATAAATCCTTATGTGTTTATATAAAATGTAACTACAAGCTACATGAGACATAACTAGAATAATTGGTCAAATGTTGGGTCATAAACTTGGATTTCTTTTGCCAACTCTCTGGAATTAATTCCAAATTTGTTCTAAATTTAGATAAAAGTCAGGAAGTTTCTATTCTTGTGGACACCTTTGAGGACAGTAACGCCATCTCCTAACTGGCTCTGGATGACGGCATTGAAGCCTTCACATTAATACCCATCCATATTCTGATGAAATGACGCTTTTTTTTGTGTCATATTTATCCCGTGTTTTTTTTTCTTTCAGATGGATTTGACGCTGATGGAAGAACTCCTGAAACACATTAACTTTCATGACTCCAGCTTTTGTGTCGCTGTGATTGCCATCATTTTCAACCCTTTCTTCTGGAATGTGGTAAGAATTCTGTGAAGAGCCTACTGTGGCGACAAAATGAGATTGTACCACCTCTTGTGTACCTAAGCCACGTGCAGCCACAAACTAACGCAAGTTGATTAAAGAACGGGAAACTGAAGCACGTGGAAATCTGACAATGGAAAGTCGAGACTGAAAGTTAAAATTTCCTGAAAAAAAAAACAAAAAAACCCCACACGTGATTGCGTTTTGTTTGGGTACCAGCATTTTCTTTGTTGGATTGAAGTGTAAGGCCAGCTTGTTGATAGAATACTCAGGCTTTCAGTTTCAGTCCAATTAAAAATCCTATTGTTGCAGCCAGAAGCAATAGAAAAAGTCTGGCTATTGTTGGGGGCCGTGAAACAGCAGGCACTGATCTTGACAACCTGAAGAGTGAATCGTTACATTGTTTTTTTGTTTTTTTTAAAATCAATAAGTTTCATAATAGATCCCTGGCAGGTGGCACTTTGTCTTCAGAACGTGACTTTATTTCTGGGTGGGAAGCCAGTGAGGGATTCTGTCCTTTTTGCTGACTCTTAGTGGTGGGTTGGAGACAAGCTTCCACACCCCTCCTTAAGGTCTACTTTGGTGGATGCTTATGGCACATTAGGGCTGTCACAATATCAGATATTCGCCACGCGATAATCAATACCTATCGAGAATTTTAGTCAAACTCCTTCTTTAACTCGGCTTATTTTGCATTTTGTCCCTTTTTGGCGATTGAATTACCAAAAATGCGAGTGTACCTTTTGTTGCTTCTAGAGTGGAGCGTCAGCCACATACTTATTGTCGCTGGATTATGTACAATGTTGTCAACCTGTTTATTGCAGCACCCGTTGGACGCATATTAAAAAAATCTTGAATTCTAAACCTCCAGACAGTACATATGGACAGAAAGCCGAACTTAAGTGTTTCCAGCTAAAAATTATGTACCTACTCAAAGATACACAGAATTCTGAACACTGGATGGTAGGTCATTGCATCAAAGTTAAAGTTTCCACCTCTAAGGTAAAAAGCAGAAGGCAGTCCTCTCCAGAAGTCATTGAAAGATAGGACTCTGGTTTGTTTCCTGGTTAGGACATTAAGGATCTTTCTGCGTGGAGTTTGCATGTTCTCCCCGTGCAGCGTAGGTTCTCTCCAGGTTCTCCGGCTCCCTCCCACAGTCCAAAACTATGTTGAGGTTAGTTGGTGACTCTAAATTATCTGTAGGTGTGAATGTGAGTGTGTTTGGTTGACTGTCTCTGGCGCCCTGTCCAGGGAGTCAGCTAGGATAGGCTCCAGCCCCCCTGCAACCCTAGTGAGCATTAAGCAGTGTATAGAAAATGGATGGATGTTGTGAGGAAGCATATCCAGCTACACACGGCTTTGTGAAATCGAGGCAAACGGTCTGAACAGCGTCCCTGAGCCTGATAAAGCTGCCCTTCTCTCTATCGTCGCAGACTGCTGGGCTGCACAGACAAGACGACTGCGTTCACATCAGAATGTGATCTCGTCAGGGACTTAAAACTGATTACACATACATATGTTACATAATGTGATTGCCCATGGTTGCGTCGGAGTCGCGTCTCATTCATGCTTCACACAAAGGCACAGAAGGAAACGCTGTCTTTCATGTTCAAGATATCATATGCATGCATAAGTGCTACACACACTTTTTTTTGAGTCACATCTTCCCCATTGATGGTGTTCAGTGATGGAACTATGTCTGCATTTAATTACGCTCGCAGCCTTACGTAATACTATAATTAAAGTAGGCGTTTAAGTACATTTTTTATCGTGCTTTCTCTGTGGTTTTAACCCCAAGTGGAATTAATTATGATATCGCTGCTCGTAAATTAGAGCCAAAATGTTTAAGTTAATGCAAAAAAATTCAAACCTCAACAGCTATACTCTTTTGTATCGCCCTCATATGTTCCATTAGGCGTCATTTACTTCGTCATGATGTTGACTACACTCTATAACGATCTCTTCGCCTGATGAAATAGCTCAGTTTGTGGGATCACTGGATAAAATTGGTGTAATTTTGATAGCAGTTCCAGCGCCTCAACAGGTGCATGCGTTTCCAGATGGTCATTTAATTAACCTTTTTAACGGTGATTCATTCCACCGTCGACTCGGCCCGGCGTCTCGCCCGCACGGCCCCAGCGGGACACATGCTCGTCACGCGCACGAGAAGAAGGGAGGCCAATTATTTGCATTAAAGTAAATGTCACCGAGGTGCTCTTGGCCCTTTGCACATGATCACTCCCTTTTTGAGCATTGTGCTGGAAGATGAGCTGTAAGTGGCCGTAATGGGCGTTATTCAAGCAAACAGCATTAGGACTGATGGAACTTATACGCAAAGATAATAAAAAGATCTTTCTCATCTCACACGTTCGAGCTACCGTGCCGTATTCGTCCAAGTTGCAAGCATTGGGGACGGAGTTTTTTTTTTATTTGATTACGCCGGACTCCCAGCTCCTAAATGGCGAAGACAGACACATACGTTTCTCAGCTTTTTATCCTACTGATTCCTATTTGTGATCACATGTCTGTCACATGTGGAGCCGAGACTGATTTTGAAAGCAATGTAGCTCATTTGGGTGCAAATTTGTCGCCTTTGTCCTATACACGTGGGCCAAGGAACAAGCTCGTGTGTGCTTAATGAAAGTTAGCGGTAAAGTACAGACGGCGCCGTAATGTGCTGGATGTACTGTGCCGGTGCTCGCAGCTATTAGTGCTGAAGGCCTCGAAGGTGAGTGCTGCGGCTTCAGGGAACAAGAAGTCGAGAATGTTTCACCTTGAATCAAAGGACTGTCTTCCATCGGACCAAGGATGCTGAATAGAAGTCCGACATTTACTCTTCTTCGCTCACTACAGTCTTCTTTTTTCTTTGCTCCTCGCTCTTTATCATATCCAAATATTTTACAAAAGAGTAGCTTCCTGCTGAACAAAACATTAAAATTGCAAGCAACCAAAAACCAAAAAGGTTAAATAGAAGCTAAATTTTCATTTAACTTGAGATTTGTCCTACTATGAGCCTCATGCTTCACATTAGATTGATCCATTCTGCATTTGAGTTGCACTTTGGGAAGTGTGATGGCCTTTTGCACTGATGGACTCATCTGTCAATCTAAAAAACATTTGTTAGATGAATCAGTAATGATGAATGAATGTTCGTTGGGGCTGCGAGGTGGCTCGGTGGTTAGCACTGTTGCCTTGCAGCTAGAAGGTGGCCGGGATCTTTCTGCATGGTGTTTGCATGTTCTCTCCGTGTGAGGATTAAGCAGTGTATAGATAATGGATGGATGGGATGTTAGTTGCAGTCGTGGTGTGTACATTTGTTTTAATTAGGATTAAGAAAATCGGCAAGCAGTTCAGTTTCTTTAGAATTAAGGAATGATTTGAAATGATTTGGTCCTGAAGTGTCTCTTTTTAGAGCAAAGATTTATGTAAACCTTTTATCTAAACACACAGTCAAACTTCTTCCAGGCTGCCTCTGTTCAGGATGGTGAGTGAGCAGCTGCTCTGTTCGATGTTTACTTGAAACAAAAGGTGTTCAATATGCAAAACAGCCTTAAAAACAGATTCTTTGCAATCTGAAAAAACTGACACATTAACTTGGGTCTGCAGCTCTTTTCCAAAGGAACAATGATGTTATAGATATTGTCTTTAAGACAGTTTTAGTAAACTCATCAGAAAATCACTTTTTTTTTTTTTTTTTTTTACCTGCGATCAGACTGAAGTGGTGGCATCTAGGAATGTGCTTGGGCCAGTTGGCTTTTTCACTTCTTTTCACTAGACCATCAGTAATTCAATTTCTCTCTGCAAGCTATGGATTTTACCCTAAAGAGAATATGCCAGTGCTCACTTCAGATCACTGGGTATAGAAACACCTCCACTGAAAATCAGTTCTCTTCTGTAAAACTTCAGAAGGAGCAGAAAACGAAGCAGTTCTCAACAAAATGGCATCATTTATAGAAAACCTGCTACACATTGGAGCGTGAACTGTGAGGGATCACTGAGGAGTGTGAGGGTTTTTCAGGACTGGCAGAACAGCGCACCCTGATGAGGATCTCTATGAGCTCCTGTCTTTCCCTGTTGGCTACAGCCAATGTCAAAGCTATTTCATATCTATTTCCATACCAATATCACCCCACAACAGTAAACCGACTTTAGCATTAAAGCTTGTATGTGTAGGATACGTTAATAATGAATTATGTTTCTGTTTGTTCTTAATTTGTTTCCACGTTCTTTTTACATCACCAGGGTCGCAGCTGAAAGTTTAAAAAAAAGTCAGATATGCCACAAGTATATACATTAGGCAACAATTTCATCAAAAGGAATCCTCAGATGTGCTTATTGTCTGATACGTGCCTTCATGATGGACCAGTGATCATATTATATTTTGTTATAAACTAATGAATTTATGCATTCACACAGTCAGCAGGTTTCTGCCAGCATTCCTTCCTGGCTTTGGCCGCTGCAACAGTGCTGCTTTCTGCTCCTATGATGTTTTTATATTCTTCATATATTGTAAAGATTGTATTCTGCTCCTCGGCGGTAAAGTGAGCCGCTCTGCAGCCAGACTGGTCCATAGTCGTGATTGGTCAGATGCTGATAACGCCGCCCATTTTATGTGCAGGCGCTCATACTGAGATCAGACAAACCTGGGTTGACTTATCAAGTTGATAACCACCGTCGTAGGACTGGTTTTCCTGAGTGCGATTGTTAGGGTTAATCAAGCCAGATCTCTGAAAGATATTCTGGGTGTGTTGATCTCACTTTGTAGTACAGGCTCCAGGCCAAAACTGTGTGACAATGCCCTTGTCAAAAATCTGTATTTTTATAAAAAGTAGTTGATTTTTAATTTAATTTTCTTGCGTTTGACCAGCAAAATTGCAGTATTTCTTACTGTATTTGAATTTAATAAAGGCATTTCTCAGATATTTCCAAGTATTTGAAATACTATTATTATTATTATAGATTTTAAAAAATAGTAATTAAAAAAAACTTTTATTTTA